AACCTATTTATGGTTATCAGGCTTGGCCTCTGTGAGGAGATAATACTGAAGTCCAGTCCTCAAAATTAAATAGCAACCAGACTTGCAAAGAGCAAGAGGGAAGAGTACCCTTTCAGAAGGCACAACATGTGCAAAGGTTCTCACAGGAGGAAAAAGCTCAGTGGGCTAAAGTAACAGAAAGAAGGCCAGCATGACTGCAGCACAGTGGGAAAACTGCACTAACTGTAAACAAAGGCAGAGTAAGTTTTGGTGAGGGCTTGATAAAGATGCTGGATTTTACTCTAAGTGCTGAAGAAAATCTTTAAAGAGTATTTAAAAGAATGACGGCTGGTCCGACGGTAGTGGGTCATCAGAACTTATTAACATTAGTGTCACTAAAGTCGGTATACAACCTCCCACTGCTAAATTTGACTGGCTTTTAGAAAAAAAGAAAAAAAAGGAAAAAAGAAAAAAAAGAATGACACAAACAGATTTATGTATTTTACTTTGAGCAAAAAGTGTTAAGATTTGCTCAAAAGCGAGGGGTGGGGGATAAGCAACTAATACAAGACTAACATTAACTAACATGACAGAGGGAGGAAAAATGTTTTGTGGCAGTGTTTAGGGGGGAATTCAGAAGCTTTTAGGCATGATACCTTTGAGATGCCTGTGAGACAGCCAAGGGTTATGTTGAGTAGCAGCTGGATGTAAGTCAGGGGCTGGAAGTTAGAAATACTGACCAAGTTATTTAAACTTACCTAGAGTGTTTATAAAATATAAATCAATTGGCCACACTCTGGATCTACTGAATAAGAAAGGGTTTGCACATCATTAACATTGTCAAGTGATTCTGATGTCAACTGGGGTCTGGAAACCGCTTATGTAATAAATTTTAATGTTCTATTTCATCACCTAGGGATATACCGCTTTATAAAGCAAAGAATATATTGAGTAGAATGTTATGAAAATGATTTGACTTAATAATCCCAGAGCTATTTAGGCTCCTCCAGTCATACAATATTATAGAGGAAACACTTCTAATTAGCCATTTTTTCAAACGACATTTGCTGAAGGCCATTCTGAAGGTAAATAATTTCTTCTATTTTACAAATATTTTCTTGCAAAACACCCATGAAATATCTTACAAATTAGTACATCAAAGTTCAGAAAGATGGAGTCTTGTCCAAAGTATACACAATCAATAACAAAGCCAAGATTCAAAAATCAAGACACTAATTCCAATCTGCTTTCCACCATACAAAAATGCCACCCATCCCCAAAAAGCTCATCATCTGTGACACGTACAAAAATAATTGTAACTAGATAAAAAAAGAATGAAGCTGGGCGCAGTGGCTCAAGCCTGTAATTCCAGCACTTTGGGAGGCCGAGGCAAGCGGATCCCAAAGTCAAGAGATCGAGATCATCCTGGCCAACATGGTGAAACCCCATCTCTACTAAAATACAAAAATTAGCTGGGCGTGGTACTGAGAATCTGTAGTTCCAGCTATTTGGGAGGCTGAGGCAGGAGAACTGCTTGAACCCCAGAGGTGGAGGTTGCAGTGAGCCGCGATCACGCCACTGCCCTCTAGCCTGGCGCCTAGCGACAGAGCAAGACTCTGTCTCAAAAAAAAAAAAGAACAAGTACCTTAAGGGAAACAGGACAATAAGAATTAAGCAAAAATTATTTCTTCATTTTCACTACTTAAAAGTTTTTAAACTGCAGAAACTATATATTCCACCACTCATCCACAAGCGCTCCTAAATAGACAGCGTACGTTTTTGAATCATATACAAGAAGTCCTGGACTGTTTCCTAACTCACTGTACAATCTCTCCACAGATTTAGGCACTTTTGGGGGATATAAATAAAAGGGAGCCTGTACACTGACTTTGGCTTCAGAAAGCTCTGTGTAGACCCCAGCTCACAATCCACCCACTAACAGCAAAACCTTGTGAAGACACAAGGTTAAAAAACCTATACATATACTTTTTTTTTTAACATATACTTTTAAAATAGTCATTATCACTTACAGTTATTGTAAGAGCATGCAAATAGTAACCTATGGCTGTCTGAGATTTTAACACAAAATGTTGGATTCTGCTTTATTTTAGGTATGTACTTCAAACTATCTATCTACCTTAATACTGTGCTACTAGTGTGTTTCCTAAAATGTTTACAAATCCTCTTTGCTGACCACCCCTGGTCTAGGATTCATCCCTTGACTACAAGATCAGGGTCCTCTTTACTTACCCTTTCCTAACAGTTCTAAAGCTTGTAACAACTCATTACCCCCGGGGGCTAGATTTTTAAGTTCCTTGAAAGCAGAAGCTATGTCTCGTCCAATTCTCATTCATTCACCTGAGTACTACCCTGTGCTTTACACTAATCTAGGTCCTAAGAATACAGTAGTGAACAAAACCAAGTTCCTGCCCTCTCAGAGCTTATACTCAAATAAGACAGACATAAAAACAAATAAATAGTTATCAGTTAGGAATAAATGCCATACTATTTTAAAAGGGGGTAGGTGGGTTACTGAGCGTTGTGAGAGCTGCGGAAGTTGCTATTTTACATAGAGAAAGCCTCACGTACATGAGAACCTGCAATAAGTGGAGCAGCCACACAGGTATCTGGAAGAGAGGAGTCATCTAGACAGAGGGAAAAGCAAGCACAAAGGCGCTGAGGCGGGAACATACTTCTTGTGTGGCAAGAAGAGTAAGAAGGCAAATGTGTGTGTGGTTCTAAGGATAGAGACACATGAGAGGGCAGGCTCTGAGAGCAGAAGAATGACATGATCTGAAAGAATCACAGAGGCTTCTGTGTGGAGAATAAAGAACAAAAGCAGTGAGCCTCATTAGAGCACTGCAATAATCCAGGAGAGAGAATGGTAACGAACCAAGGGAATGATGATGGTGGTAGTGGTGGTGATGGAGAAGGAGGTGGAAGAGGAGGAGTTGGAGTTGGAGGAGTTGGAGGAGTTGGAGGAGGAGGAGGAGGAGGAGGAGGAGCAGCAGCAGCAGCAGCAGCAGCAGCAGCAGCAGCAGCAGCAGCAGCAGCAGCAGCAGCAGCAGCAACAACAGCTGGAGTCTGGTTAGGTTTTGAAGATAGAGCCCACAACATTTGCTGATGAACTGTATGTGAAGAAAGAGAAAGAAAAGAATCAATGAGAGTTTTTAAAAGGTTTGGGAGTGTGGGATTCCCATTAGTATAAGAAAGTCAGAAGCAATCTCAGAAAGTGTCCAGTACATAGTAGACACTCAAATATTTGAGAATTCAGTTTAACTTAACTCCCAAAATGAAGCAAGTAAACTCAATGTATTGGTTTCCATTTGCTCTAATATTCTTTGAGTAACATTTGCTAGTTACACAAAGAGACTTAACCATGACCACACAGTTTACTGCAAGTGTTAACAAAGAAATCTTACACTGGACCCAGCAACTAATCCTCACCTCTCAAAAATCATTTTCAGATTTCAATCTACGATTCTTCTGGACATAAAAGAAATCCGTTTTGAAAGTTTTGTGACAGCCTGAGGATTCTTACACCCAAAGTAATTAACCCGTTCATTAATGATGTCGTATTCCTGGAAGGTATAGTAGTGCAAATAGAACTCTCTAGGCCAGAATTAATTGAAAATTATAACACTTCATGATAAATTTTCAGAATGCAACAAGACTGAACAAGTCCCTCTAATGAAATAAGCCACAAGACATCAGCATTTCTTAATGGCTTTTTTTAAAAACCTCAAACAACAAGTCTCTTCAAAACAATTTCAATGAAAAATGTGAATCTGTTTGAGAATGTGAAACGCAGCACATCTTCCCCCAAGCAGACACTTTTCCTGCCAAGTAGTGAAACTAAGCTTCACTGAGGGAAGAATTGGGTGTCCTCACCTTTTGCACTTCTCATAGTGGTATTCCTGAATTTTCTAACTCAACACCCTGTGTCTAGCTCCACGAAGAACCCCAAAGTTAGCAGAAATATATTCAAAGGAATTCTCCTAAAATAGAAAGTTCAGATCCTTTCCACCCCTCCGACTACTTTAAAATTTTATATGAAGGTTTAAGTATCATTTCTGTCCACATGAGTTTCCCTAACGCCCCACCTAACCTAAAACGCTTTAAAAACTGCAATTAACAACTTTCAACGCCGCTTTAAAAACACAGATGATTCAGAGGAGCTGATCGCACCGAATTCAGCAACAGGCAGTACTCTCCCTACTCCTATCCGCCAAAGGCCTTGAACCAACCCAAACAAATCCGCTGAAATGCCAGCCAGATTCCCCGTATCTCCCCGCTCCCTTCCCCAGGGAGGCCAGGAAGCACCACGGCCACCCGACACGGGACTGAACAAAAAAAGAACCGCTGGGAACGAAGCACAACGGTTTTGTGTAGGCAGGAAGGTTCCAAGCCGGGTTTTCCACCACCACCCAGGACCAAGAACGAGCCCGGACGACCCCACACACACACACTCAACGCAGAGCCGCAGGGTCCCCCGCGCTCCCGGGGCTCCGCACGCGGATTAGCGGCGAGGCGGCGGGCGGCCTCTCCGGGTCGTCCGGGGAGCCCGGGGCGAGGGCGGCGGCGGGGGCGGGCAGTGCTGGGCGCCCCCGGGACCCAGCGTGCCAAGGATGGATGCGGCGCCCGCTAAACGCGCAGAGCGCTCGACGCCGGCCACAAGCCCCACGGGCGGGGGTCCCCGGCGGGGACGGCCTACCCGGGTGGCCGCGTGACGGACCCCCCCCCCAGGAGGAGTCTAGGACGCTGCCGCTTCCCAGTGAGCGGGCGGGGGCGGCCGGCGCGGGCTGCCGGAGACTCGTTGCTTGTTTCATCGCCGAAACCCTGGAAGCCCCGAAGAGAGGAGTGGGGAGCACTCCCCGAGGGGAAGCGGGGTTGCTCACGCCAAGCGGGTGGCGGCCCCCGGGGAACTAGAGCCCCGGGAAAAAGAGGAAGAGGGCGCGACCCCAGCGCCGCCCCGCCGGCCCGCGGGGAAGGAGCCACCCGCTCCCCGCCCCCACACTCACCATGTAGAGGGTGAAGGGCAGGCCCAGCAGAAACAGCCACAGGTAGAGGTGCAGCGCGTTCACGAAGGTGGCCTGGTGCGGGTCGTAGTACCAGCCCCCGCTGAGCGCGGCCCACACCCCCTGTCGGAGGATCTGCAGCGTCTGCGACCCCATCCCCACCCGGCGCCGCCGCCGCCGCCGCCGCCGCCGCCGCCGCCGTCCCCGCCCCGGCCCCAGCTCGGCCTCGGTCGCCGGAGCCTGCAGCTGCCCCGTCTATCCCCCTCCGGAGCTCCGGGAGAGCGAGCCGGCGCCTCGGCGGTCGCTGGTGCCGCTGCAGGAGGAGGAGGAGGCAGCGAAAGAGGAGGAGGAGACCCGGGAGGAGGAGGCGGCGAGCGGCGGGGCGGAGGACGGCGGAGAGGAGGAGACCGGCCTCCTGAGCGCCGCCGCCATCTTGTCTCCTAACACCCAGAGCCGCGGCCAGGCCCCCGCCACCCGCGGCCCGCCAGCGCCCCCGTCGCCGCTGCCGCCGCCGCGACCCCCGCCGGCCGCCACCCCTGGGCCAGGCGGAGAAGGAGGCCCGACGCCCGGGAGCGACGGGGAGGAAGCCGCGCCCCCTCCAGCTCCTCCTCTCCGCTCCCTCCGCCCCCTGGGCCGGTCCCGGCCGGAGCGTGCCGCGCCTGGGCCGCCGCGGGCGCCTCCTGTCGACGTCCCAGAGAAGCGCGCGCCGACGCGGCCCGGGGTCAAGGCCCGGGAGCTGCGGAGGTGGCGGAGACGCGGTGGGGGAGTCCAGGGTCTGCCCCTGGTAGACCCGCTGGCAAGCTCACCTACCAGTCTCTAAACGGGGTCTTTCCTATTCCGAAACTAACAGATATTGACTCCAGAAACTTGTCCTGGCTGTCGTTTATGATATTTATCAAAGACCTCAGAACAACTGAAGCTACTGTCTGAGATACTCACTGAAGGCCTGGAAGAATTGGGTACGGCAGATGACATTGTTGAAAAGTCACAAACGCACCCAAGTTGAGCAAGCACTTGTTGGCCCGTGTGTGAAAAAATAGCCATGTCCAGATTGGGAGAATTTACTACTTCCAAAGACAAGTTAATAGAAGTGGCACGAGACATGAAAGTACGGAGTGGACAGGTTGTCATTTGTACTCGGTGATTGTATTTTTAAATGTGCTGTAACTAGTAGCCATTTTTATCAATGGGCCAATCTAAACAGGGTTGAAAAAGATTAACTGTGATTCTACCTCAGACTCCAACAGTGTCTTGCAGGTCTCTTTTTATAGCTGTGAAAACGGAATCATTCTTGGCTCTGTGTAATGTTTATAAGGCGTGTCTGATCTCATTGAATAAAATTTTCTTAAAAAGAGTTTGAAGTTTGGGTTTATTGAAGTTTGACTTTGATGGCAATAAAAGTACTTTGTATTCCCAGATTAAAGTTGCTATAATTAATGAGGGAAACGAGAGACAAAGGAAACTAGTAATATTTTAAGAAGAGTAATGAAAAACCATCACAATACCTCCCAGTGCCATACCACTTTATAGCTGCTCAAACACTATCACACCCATTTCATTCAGAACTTCAGGACAATCCTTTGGGGGCAGCATAGCAGCTGTTGTTATTTTATGGATGAGAAAACCTAAACTCAATTAAGTAAGTGATTGGCCAAGTGCTTATGGCCACTTATTCCTCATAAGCAAAAAGTGATTGAGAACTCTAAAACCAGCAGTCACCATAACTGCATGAACTGAACTTTGGAAGTTCATTTCTCAAGGCTCTCCACCTCATCCATTTCAGGTAAAAGTCTGAACTGACTAAGAACTGCTCAGCACCTTCTGGTTATCTGTGACTAGCTTAAATATATGAGCAGTTGTCATCAAAGGGCAAATTCTTGGGGCAGCGCTCCATAGAAACTCTATGGGGTGTGAGCCAGCAATCTGTTTGAACAAGCCCTCTGGAGGATTCTAATGTACGTTAAAGGTTTGAAGCTACCACTGCAGAACACCACACCATCCCCTAGCCTTGATTTGTTTATCTCCTTGTAATCACAAAGCCAGAGTTCCAGCAAGATATCTTCAAATTGAGAGACGCAAGTAAACACTGGACAAAATACACTTTAAAGGGTATTCGTATATCTAAAAGCACAATTATGATCAAATAATGCAATTTTACAATTAAAATAGTAGCCTTGAAGCTGGTGTCATAGATACCAGCTATTGCCAAGTTTTCATTTGTTTCCCCTTAAAGGAGACAGGAAAGCTCTCTGAGAAGGTTTTGGAAGTAATCCCAACCTTTCTAACACAAAGGAAGATGTAAACAAGGATAAAATTCCAATACCACATCAGTTTCCATACCAGCAAAGATCTGTTATGGTTTAATATAAAAGGATTAACTGTAATGAGGGTGAGGTGGATGGGGGAAAATGCAGATAGATGCATGCAATTGGAGGCCAACACAGCTGGCGTGATAAACGTTCAGCCAGAATGCGGTATCTGGAGGATATGGAACCGGCAGCAAGCCAGGAAAGCAGCCGGCATCAGGCCTGTTAAACAGAGAATGTGGGTGTTGTAAGCCAATGGACAGCTGGAACACACAGCCTTGGAAAATCCAGGAGTGGGCAAAAATTGGGAAATCATGGCAAGCTTTGAGAAAATGTGTCACTTATAGCAAGGCCCCAGCTTCAGTGCTGGGGTTTTCTAGGTCTGCCCTCTAGTTTCTACAGGGAACTGATGAAAATAAGTAGAATTCAGATCTTAGAGCTACTAGGCAAGTTTGAGGACCCAGCAGAACAAATATCCAAAGGCTGGATCTGGGGGGACAGAGTGAGACTTACAAACAAAGCGGGAGCTTGATACCTAGAACTGGGACCGAATTTCACACTGATTATGGTTGCCTTATGCTGAAGTCCCGAAGTGTTAATATAAAACTCTAGTTGCCCTCCAGAATGACTGGGATTGATCCCAGAACCTAGAGGTGGGAGTCACATGGCAGTAGCCAGCGGGTGAAAAGTGGTTAGCAGGATTGGCAGGCCCAGAGAGTGGAAAAGGCAGTTAGAGACTACATCTTTCAGCTCTGAACTGGTAGGAACATATTAGAAAAAATGCTAATTAACTGACTTAGAGAGTAGCAATTGAAAATATCCAGTGAAAAAGCTGACCTTTCCAAATGACTGACTCAGTCGCTGGGGTGAGGGGAAGAGAAGCAATCCCACAGTGCTCTCAGTAGCTCTCAAAATGTTTATGAATGCTGCCACAACAACCTTCGTATGTTATAAACTAGAAGCTAAGGCAAGAGAGGTTAAATGGTTTGTCCAAGGTAGCACACTCTATCATGCTCATAAAGAGCAGGACAAAAATCCAGGGAACTAATTTTGCCAAGTGTTAACCCTCTTAGCCATGCATAGAAGCCATTAATAATGCTACACTTAGCATGTCAAAGTTAGCAGCCATGACATACTACCAAATCACCATTTGACATTTGCTCATCTTCAGCTAATCCTATTAAAATCATATTTTCTGACTAGCTCATAGGCCTCCTGGGGACTGAGAGTAGTTGACAGCAGATGCTCTCTCCTGCCTGAAAAGGACAAAACTGAATGTACAAAATCTAATAACCCCACCCAAGCCCACCTTGGAGCAGAGTCGTGCAAACTTCAGCTCTGATCAATTTTGTGTGTCAATTATCTACTTTAGACATATGGCCCACATGTCCTGCCAATGATCCAGATGCAGTAAGTATCCATGTCTTCCCCCCGACTGACGCCTTTTCTTTCTCTTAGTGAAACCAACATTTCCAGCTCACTCAGACCTGGAACCTCATGTATCCTTCCCATTGTCTATTCTCCAGTCTCTCCTGCTCAACCCTTCCTTTAGGTTTCCAGATCAACCATTCTGTTGATCTGGCAACATAAGATCAACTCATACCCAGCAGTCTCCTATTACCACCAGTGTCTCCTCTTCTAAGCCATTCTACCTTCCACCAACAAATTAATCTCCCTAATCCACTTTTCTTAAAAACCTTTAATTCCCTTCTGGACTAAAGGGACACTCCTTAGCCGGGCAAAGTCCCCAGCAACCTGAATCACTATATTCTGCAACTTAACTGCTGCCATTTCCCAGCATGAACCCTTTTTATTGGTGAATATCAGTATAACTATGTATGTCTATCAGCCCACTCATTTATTAATTTCTGCCTCTGTGCTTTTACTGTCACCATTTGCCTTACTTAGAAAACATTATCCCTCTACCTGCCTACTAAAATCCACTATGACTACTCCAAACCCATTCTTCTATTTTTTGAACAGCCTAGAGCACTCACATGTTCCACTTGTTTAGCACTTAATTGTGTGCTACTTCATATCCCTCCATCTAAACTGTACATTCCTTGAGGGCAAGGCACTTCTCAGCATGTCCCACAGGGCCTACCAGAGAAAGCTGTTAGCATCAATTAACACTCAGTTCATATACATTGATGAAATAAAGCACAGAAACAAATGGCTTTCCAATTAGAGATTTTAATCTGTTTTTGTCATTCATTTGATAGCCCTTCAACATTTGAAAGCATTTTACCAGCTTAGAAAAGCAGTTCAAGGAAGGGAAAAATAGCATGAAATGAAGGTAAAGAGAATTTGGAAGAGAATGCTGGGCATGGTGGCTCACACCTATAATCCCAACACCTTGGGAGGCCTGGATGGGAGGATCACTTGAGCCCAGGAGTTTGAGATTAGACTGGGCGACATGGGCGGAAACCTCGTCTCTACAAAAAATACAAAAATAAGCTGGGCATGGTGGCACGTGCCTGTGGTCTCAGCTATGCAGGTTGCAGAAGCAGGAGGATCACCTCAGCCTGGAAGGTCAAGGATGCAGGGAGCTGTGATTGCACACTCCAGCTTCAGTGACAGAATTAGACCCTGTCACAAAAAACAAAAAAAGAGAGAAAAACAAAAACAAAGAAGGAAATGAAATGAAAAAAAGGGAAGAAACAAACAATAAGAGAAGCGACTTAGAATTCTTCCCTGGATCTCTTTTTGCCATTTGCTGGGTACTGCTTTATATCACATCAGGAAAATAAATATCAAATGGAAACTTCCCAAATCTCACATAATATAATTATAAAATACCATCATCTGGATATGGAGCTAAACAAGTGAAAATAAAAGACTCTTACTAACTAGGAGATGATTCTTCTTGGAAATCTCAACCCAATCTCTCTTTTTTTTTAAATGTCAACTCCATATGATGAGTAATTTAAAATACATTTTTAGTGACACCAACTAGTTTAGTAATTCTTGTTATGGTTTTGTGTCATCCTGAGAGTGTCTTCTGTTACGTCTCGAAAAACAAATTCACTTTTCTTAAACTTACCACACTTTGGGAGCGGGGCAATGAAAGGAAAGGGGAAGCATACAAGATATGGCAAAACTCCCCAAATATTGTGAATCCCTAAATTAAAAATAATATACCACGCATTGTTTTTCATCTTTTGACATTAAAAGATTCTTCTATGTCAGTTTGATGTCTAATGTGCTTAACTATATCATATGACAGAGCTTATTTATTTTTGTTGTTGTTGTTGAGGCAGGTTCTCACTCTGTCGCCCAGGCTGGAGTGGCAGTGGCACGATCTC